GCGGGCTCCTCGCACCCCTGAGGCCGTGCCCGCCTCCGGCACCGCCGCTCGCGGCCTTTCCGCGGCCGCCGCTGTCCTGGCCGGCTCGCCCGCGGCTCCGCGGCAGCGACCGGGGATGGGAGTCCCTCTCCCTGCCCGCCCCCGGCAGGGAAAACCTCCGTTAGCCGTGGGATTTGCGTGTCCTTCGTGCTTTACCCGTTACCGACTGTTTGTTGGGGTTTTGGGGGGTTTTGGGTTTTTTTGAATAGCCCACATCATCCCTGTTAAATAAATACGAATACCCCATCCCCAAAGACGGTGGGACCGAAAAGTGGCCCCGGTCCCCACCGGGCATTAGCAGTTTTTCTGTTGTCCCGGCGGGACTCCTCTGTTAGTCGTGGGGAAAGGGAGCGCAGGAGCCAGAGCTGGGCAAGGTCCTTGCTGCCAGAACGCTTGCAACTCTAGAATTCATAAAGGACAAAGCAACGGTGGCTCTCGGTGGAGCTCTCGGAGCGGGGCAACGACTTTGAGCTGAGGAAAGCGGAGATCCGCAGCCCTTCGGACGGGAGAGCAGGTTCCTCTCAGGGCGTCCTCTTGGTGGGACACAGGCAGAAAACATGAAAAAGAAACTGTTTATAGTAAAATAAAGGAAATCCGTTTCAAGTACCCGGAGTAGAAGCAAGAACGTTAAAAATTAACAGCGGAAACAGGAAACACTTATCTGAGTAAACATTGTCTCAGAATTTCACCATATGAAAATTGGGAGGGCGCAAGGTGCTCGTCGGGGCCGCGGCCACCCGCCTCCCGCCGCGGTACCTGGCGGCGGGGGCCGCCGCCGCCCCGCGCCGGGGCTGGAAACCGGAGCCGGGCACGGCGAGACGACCCGATCCTCGCGAACCGGTTTGGTGGCAAAGATCGGAACTGCAGGAGTTCCTGCGCGGTGAGAGATGAGCAGTCCAGCAGTGATGTTTGGGAGGCAGGAGGAGCACAGCTCTCTGCCACCGGGCCGAAGGGACCGGCGGTCCGAGGCCGCCGCGAAGAGGAGAAGAGGCGCGGGGGTGGCGGAGGTGGAAGGGAGGAGGCTTCCTCCCGGTGCCGGCCCCCGGGAGGACTTGCTTTGGCCGCGCTTTGACAACCCCCGCCGAAAGGAGGGAATCCTCGGGCAGTGTACGGCGGGGGAGGCGGCGAGCGGTCCGCCCGCGGCGGCCGGCGCGGGGCGGGGGAGAGGACCGAGGACACCGCTGGAGCTGGCAGGACGCCTGCCGCCCGCTTTGCCTCCCCCCGCCGCTCTCGGTGCCCCCCTCCACCGCCAGAAAATCGGAGAACGTCGTCTCTGAGCGGAGTTCCCCGAGGCTGCCTCCCTCCGGGGCTGCCCGGGCCCCCGGCGCCGCGGCGGCAGCCGCCCTGCGCTCTCCTCCCCTGCCCACGGGACGCTGCCGGTTTTTCGGGAGTTTCCCGGCTGTGCCCGCCCGCCGGCACCGGCCTGCTGAAGGGCAGCGGCGCAGGTTGTTTTGAGCAACGCTCGGTGCTGGCGGGGACGGCGGCACACGAACAGCTCGGCTTAGCAAGCTCGCCATGCTCCCTCTCTTTCTCTTTCTGCGTATTTCTGCATTCCTTCGCCCAGTTGCTGCCCGTCTTCTCCAGAAGCCCGTGGAGCTCTCCGCGCTCCCTCTCCCTCGCCTTCCCCGGGGCTGGATCGTTACCGCCTGTCCCCCATTCCGGCCGGGCACAAAAGCGCTGCCTGGAGCCGCAGGCAGCTGAAGCAGGGCGGAAAATTTGATCGGACGAAGACAGAAAAACACCATTTTCCAGCGGGCGCAGACCGCCCCTGCCTCTACCTTTGATCAGATTGCTTGTCGAACAAGCTCGGAAAAACGCAGCAGACTTCGGCTTTATCCCTCGATCTGTATGTATAAACGCAACGTCGGATGCTGCGAAGATTCCTCTTACATATAGCGAGCTGAGATTTCTTTCCAAATAGGGAGGGTTTACGTACATTTGCAAGGAAACCCGCTCGCTCTGTAGCTGCAAAGGAAAATATTGTGAAACCGGGGAGGTTGACACAGCAGCTTCGCGAGTAGAACATCAAGATGCTATCTTTGGTCGTCCTCCCAGTTGTGCTTAGCAATATATACGCATCGCAGTGCCATCTGCCCAGGGCCAGCAGCAAAACAAAAGTTTCACGTGGCAGCACAAACATCCTCAGCGGCTTCTGCAGCTCGGCAAGAGAGCTACTGAAAACGTTTGTTCTTTTCCAGACGGGAGATGTCAAATTGGGAGATGTGGAAAGTGCTGTAAGAGCTTAATAAACCTCGACGGGAATTATCCAGCTCCTGTTTCATTGCTTTGTGCTTCACGGACACTCTACAAAGACCGAGAATAGTTCCGTTTTGATGCTAAAAGTTGTCATTATCAGCTACTCCCAATATAAATAAGCGCGATTTGGTCAATATGCTAACGTACAAGCTTCCGCAGCAGGTTCAGTGCTGGTCTTTGGGTGAATTAATCCAACCAGTACCGTGTGTTTAACTCACATAGTTGAGGGAATCGTGCCAAGATAGACACTCGGTCGCATGGAGAGATATCTTTACATTAAAACGTATTTAGTTCCACCGAGACTTTAAAAAGTAATCCAGAGCAGCACAGGCGGAACCTGGCACTCGCCATCATGACAAAAATCACGTTCTTCCCTTCCCAGCCGGTGCAGTTTAACAGGGGCTAAGTTTGAACAGATAGGAGGTAAAACCTATGGCTGACTGGGATGTGAGAATACACCATTTGCTTATTTTCAAGAATAATTCGGGGTCAAATAAAGAACAGCAAATGTTTTCGAGGCAGGCAACCAAAACAAATCACAGCGATTTCTAGGCAATTTTTTTTGTTGTTGTTATTTTAGTACTTTGCTGTTCTGTTCACTAAAATCTTTTGCACACCCAGAAAGACTTCCGGCAAGAACAAGATGTTTGTCCTTTAACACCACATTATCAACAGAGGTCATTTGCTATTTTTCAATGAATTATCCCTTTTATTTGTTTATTTCTTTGATCAGCTATAAATGAAAGTTATTCGTGTATATAAAACTGAAGTTTTTACTGTTGAAATTGAACTGTACATGTTTACTACAGGAAAAAATATCAACTCTTGTTTAACAAGACATTATACATCAATAAGCAATAACCTTGTGGAGGATTTGCAATCACCTGGTCTATAAAAACACACAGGACAAGTAACAGCAATTTATATGCAAAAGTAATGATTTAATGACTATAAGCAAGACAAAGCAATAAGAATTGTGCTTCTTTTGCAGACTGGAGACAATGAAATGTTTAACTACAATTTTCCCGTACAAACATGAAACAATATCCATATAGAATAAACACCCTCACAAATGTATAACTGATGGGTGATGAACACACACGAAGTTCGACCAAAGCAAAGCACAAACTGAAAAGTGTTCTGGGCTGTTTGGATTTTATGGTGGAAAAGTTCCTTCTACTGAAAAAAATAATACCCTTAGAAGCCTCTAATAAAATGCACCTATTTGCAGGCCATTAAAGAGGAGGCATTCTCCACAATTTATTGGAAATATTAAAGTACCTGTTAAATTTTAATGAAGTTAGTACTGTACCATATACGTATATATTAAAACAAATTTAGATAAAATGCCTTCATCCAGCATCTTGCTGGTTCCTTAAAATTTATACCAAATAGTTTATGGCTTCTATAATGATTCCATGTGCTTTTAAAAACACAGTCCCACCACATCAAATAATAAAAAGGTAATCAAACAGGTCAAAGACTTCCATGTCCCTTAACTTTTTTTTTTTTTTCTTCACTGCATCACTTCAACATTTGGTAAAGTAAAAATATATCACTTGGAAAAAAAGACAAAGCCAGTGAAATCCTTTAAAGATTGCCAATTGCCTCCAGCTTATCAGAGACTTGAATGTGCTTTCCCAATACTGTAGCTCTCACACGCAAAGTGTTTCTTGCAGTATGAGCAAAGCTCAAACAGGCGGCATCTGCAAGGGTCGAACCAGTTTAGAAATTTAACAACCATATCATGAGTGCATGAAACACAATATTTTCTTTATAGTATTTATAAATATATCATACAATACTGTTTCCTGTTATGTCATATACCAATATGGCATTGTACAATAAGCATAATGCCATCTGATTCTTACAAAAGCGAATCATTTAAACAAGTCAGTAAATAAAACGGTAATACCCGCTTTTAGGCATACAGATTGTAAAACTGAAGTTTACTTTTCTTTTGATCGGTTCTGCGCAGCAACAGAGAAGTAAAAGATGCAACATAAGAATCAAAATGGCTAATACGCAAAAATTGTTATTCACAGTGACATGGCTACATATATGCATTATTCTATGCATATTCTTTCCATTTTGTTGGATTTCAAGATGAAAAAGCACTTGCTTTCTACAGGTTCACAAAACAGCATAAGAACAATAACAATCGAAGAGAACGCAATGGAGGAGTTAGTCTGGATTAACAAACTACTTCCCGGGATTTGTATCGACTTCTGGAGACTCCCGAGTCCAGATGATGGGGACGGAAACAACTCCGCATCACTCAGAACAGGTGAAGGTGTAACTTTTGTTTGCTTCCCAGTCCTCTGAAAACAATTTACATTTCAATCTTGCGTTTCCATTAACGTCCATCCTGAATGTCACCTAGTCCGCCTTTTATAGCCAAGTTCAGTGTCACTACAAAAGAAAGCAATTTGGACGATAGTCACATGGATTAGCATCTATAAAGCTGTAATGGCATGGAGAGACCTATATAAAGGGGGGGGGGGCAGTAGCCTGGTTGGCACATCAACCAGACGAAGTGGCCGAGGAGCCATTTATCGACGTTTTCCGCGCTCTGTTGGTAAAGGAGGACTGGTGGTTACTGCTGGGGCTGCTGCTGGTGCCGTTCATGGTGCTGGAGATGTGGGGGAACTGGGGGTGAGGAGACTGGACCGGCGTGCTGGGGCTGGGCAAACAGGAGGAGGTGGAGGGGATGCCTCCCGCCGGGCTGCTCGCCTTGTCGCTCCCAGAGTCACTTTCCAGCTCCCCGCTATTATTCAAGCCTTCCCTCTGGTGACTGATCTTCATCCTCTTGCAAGTAGGTCGGACCCGGTATTTGAGGGGGAGAGGCCCGTTCTGCAAGGCAAAGGGGAGACCCTGGTAAGCGCCCTCCCCGGGTCATGACCCGCACCACCTCCCCCCCTCCCCGGGGGAGGCACACTGGCCATACTCACCCGCCTCCAGGTATAGATGTAGGCAATATCCATTAGGGTGTAGTAGTCCTTCAGAGGCTCCTCTTCATACATCACATCGATCTGTGCAAGATATGAATCCTTGCATTAAAGAGCGTCCAGGCATTTACCCCCAGCGTACGACTGCTCCAAGGTGGAAGTTGCCCCGCTGCCATATATATCAGAAAACTGAAAAAATGCTATGCCAAAACCAGTGGGGAATAGGGAATTTTCAAATCTATTAGATATGTTTTAAATATATTAAGGAGCAATTTCTTGATACCTCGATATTTACAGCATTAAAAAATTACAGAGTGCCACCAAACTCTCCAGATAGGTATTTTAAAAATAACATTCATGATCCCATCCACATATTGCACACACCAGAAATACTTGGTAGTTAGCACTTGCTGGAACTGGCTGTAATGAGAAAATGAGTGCTAACCAGCAGCAGGCTTAAAATAGCAAGACTGATTTAAAGAAAAAAAAATAATAAAAAAAAATCACTCTTTCCCCATAGGTACCTGGAAAGTGTTAGGTATATCCATTTTACTCCGCAGGAACTTTCTTAGATGCATCACTGTCATCGCTGCTGGGCAGCGTAAGTATCTTTTGTCATTCACCTGATGGCACAGTAAAGAAAATCAGTCTACTGAGAACAAGCAATTAATCCCACAAAGCTGTACTCTAACATTTTATGTTAATTAAAAAAAAAATGCACTTTATTAGATTATGAATGATAACAATTTCTGCTGCCTTATAAGGAACAACAGAAAGAAGTGGCAAATTACAGTTCTAGAATAAGTAATTAGAAATGCAACTAATTTTATACATAAGGATTTTTATCTCACAGTAAATCTCTTTTTAGAATATATGTATTACATACTGATTTTTTAAATTAATTAATAAATAATTTATTGCAGAATCTGTCAGGAAATCAAATTCCACTTTAAAAGTAACACATCAGATATTTTTTATTTCGAAAAGTTCTTTACATATACAGCTGTATGAAGATGCTTGACCTCTTCTCTACCTAGCGCCATAATAGGAGGTGTGCTGCTTTTGTTCTAGATACACATATACCTATGTATTTTTTTCAGCTACAAGCCTGCCCCAAAGATGTTTGTGTGTGTTACATTTCTTCTAGAGTAAGGAAAAGTTATTTACCTCTTCCTTTGATTTTTCTTTCTCCTTATTTCCTTTTCGTTCCAGTCTGTGAGAAGAAATGAAACAATTACAACAAATAATAAATATAGCTGCTATCAGTCAGGTAAACATAAAATATTGCCATTCTGGAACTTGCCTATTCTGGTCAAAGAATTCAATGGATAAGCTTATTATCTCGTCGTCTGTTATAATTCTTTTGTCTTCGTCAGCCACTTCTCCCCTGTCTTCATTAGAGCCATTGGCAGCTGCGCAGAAATTTCCACAATAATTTACATTTTGAAATTCAAATCAGGAAGAATGGCAATTCTCAGTACAAGAAAAAAAAAATCTCCATAGTAAGATTATGAATTAAAGCTACATAACTGTTAAAACAATATACTTTTTTAATGCTGAATTTACTTCTTAAAATTCTGTCACGGTAATACATAATTTGTAAGTTAAAAAGGAAACAGTAAAGCATGTAGGTCAATGCTACATTTATTAAAGTTGCGAATGAGTAGCTTTTACCATCGGCCGACGGATGAGCAGCATAAAAATCCCTTCTTCTTTTCATTTCATCTAGATGGAAAAGCATATATTTTTCTTTTAGTGTATACTCTGTAACTCCTGGTATTGATGTAGGATAGCAGTTCTGGGTTTGTTTTTCTACTCTTCAGAAAAAAAAAAAAAGCCGATTTAACTACTTACTTTTGAAAAGGCCTGGTACTAGCTTGTATACAATATCTTGGAGAGTTTTATCTGACCTGAAAAAAGAACAACCCCAAAACATAAAATTAAGCAGATGAAGCGATACTTTAATCCAAGCAGCAGCTCCTCATTCATAATCTTTCACAACAATGAGGCATCTTCTACAAAGTGGGAGGCTAGTCATAAAAAGTTAACTTACAAGCCCTTGTAATCAAACTAACACTGCTCTAAATACCGCTATAAAACAAAACTCATCTGTGCTACCACAACTGAAAAATAATTCTCTCGGACTGAAGGAAGGCCTTAAAAACTACATGTCCTCCCTAGAAGAGAAAGAGAGCAAAGAGTAACGCTGACAAGAAAAATAGTTCTGAAAGGAAAAGCATGCTTTAAAGGCTTTTGCCCCTTAGATTGGAAAGTTTCGGCAAGAGTTTTCCTGACAAGGAGCGAGGCAGGGATTGAAGCATGTCTGGGAGATATAGGAAGCAGAGGTAAAAACTGTCGGGATGGTACAGACGAGAATGGGGGAGAGGGAAGAGGCATTGCATTGAGGGTTGGCGTATGCAAAAAAAGACCAACAGAAACTTTCGGTCTCGCCTCCAGAGAAATCTTCAATTTCAATCAATGACAAAACTCCAAAGAGAGAGCATAGACACGAGTTAGCTTGTAAATTGACAAGTCCTTTCAGATTTAAATCGCAGACCAAGAGATAACATCGACAGGACTACCGCAGGTCTCCCCATATAAAGTAACAGAAGGGATGCAGGGTGCGCATTGCATCTTTCTCCTACCTTATATTCAAAAGCGGTCGAGTTTTGTGAACTTGGACATCACAGATAGGACAATACTTGCTGGTCTCCAAGTAACGCACGATACAGGTCTTACAGACTGTAAGTCAAACACGAAAGCCTTTTAGTGATGGTTGTAGGTGACGCTCAGATATGCATAGATAGAGGTGCGATTTTCTAAACTATGCAAGCTACAGCAAATCGTCCATTGCCAGCAGCGCGCTGCTTAAGCTAAACAAATACCCAAATAAGCTGCAATTACCATGAAAAGGAGACGCTTAGAGTACATATATTATTACTTTAACAAAGACCGTAGGGCCGTCCTCAGAAAAACTGCACCGCGGCCGGGCCACCGATTTCCCAGCCCGTCGGGGAGGCGGAGGGGCGGCGGTCCCCAGCACCTCGGGGGGG